GTGGCTCATGCCTGTAATCCCAGAATTTTGGGAGGCCAAGGTGGGAGGGCTGCTTGAGCCCAGGAGTCAAGATCAGCTTGGGCAACATAGCAAGACCCTGTCTGTATAAAAAGAAATTTTTTTAATTAGCTGGGTGTGGTGACGTGCGCCTGTAGTCTCATCTACTCAGAAGGCCGAGGCAGGAGGATCACTTGAGCCCAGGAGTTCGAGGCTGCAGTGAGCCATGACTGCACCACTGCATTCCAGCCTGGGTGACAGAGCAAGGCCTTTTCTCTATAAAAAAGAGTTAAAATAAATAAATTAAACTATAATTAGGCATCTTATGAAAGTTCTAATGATTTGCTTTAATGTTTATTTTGGGTGCTTCACTAAGAATATATATTTCAGATTAAAATTGATTCAGAGACCATTCATGGTCAAATCTAATTGGCTTAAGTACAGAAACATCACCCTCCATTTCAAGTGTATACCCACACATGTGTATGTCACATGCCACACCACTGGGGAACAAGCTTACCTCAGTTTGGCATAATGCTGGAGGGTGGAGGAATGAACCCTTCCCCATCAAACACTATTGCAGAGCAAAAGGCAGGGTGTGAAAGTCCCATCGTTAATTTCTATGCTCTAAGATGGAACTATAGAGAAAACTCATGTTACCGGCTGGGCGTGGTGGCTCACACCTGTAATCCCAGCACTTTGGGAGGCTGAGGCGGGTGGATCACCAGATCAGGAGTTCAAGACCAGCCTGACCAACATAGTGAAACCTCATCTGTACTAAAAATACAAAAAGTAGCCAGGCATGGTGGCTTGTACCTGTAATCCCAGCTACTCAGGAGGCTGAGGTAGAGAACTGCTTGAGGCGGAGGCTGCAGTGAGCCGAGACTGCACCATTGCACTCCAGCCTGGGCAACAGAGCAAGACTCCATCTCAAAAGAAAAAAAAAAGAAGAGAATCCTTAAGTTAACTTATTCATACACTGACTGTCAGCATCTATGAAGCTTTCACTCTGTGCCAGGTCCTGGGCAGAAGGCTCTGGAAAAGGCATTTTCTCACATCTCACTGTGCAGCACAACACACTATTTGGAAGTGGATTGAGTTTCTTTTTTTTTTTGAGACGGAGTTTCACTCTTGTTACCCAGGCTGGAGTGCAATGGTGCAATCTCAGCTCACTGCAACCTCCGCCTCCTGGGTTCAGGCAATTCTCCTGCCTCAGCCTCCTGAGTAGCTGGGATTACAGGCATGCACCACCATGCCCAGCTAATTTTTTGTATTTTTAGTAGAGACAGGGGAATTAAGTGAGTTTCTATCCCAGCTCCACTAGCTGTGTGACTCAGGTAAGTTATCTCACCCACACTTCATCATCTGTAAAGAAGAGATCTAGCTATATCATCGTGAGGATTAAATAATATAATCCCAGTAAGCGCTTTACACTATGCCTGGCAGAGAGTCCCCATTTAATCAGAAGTAGCTCTTCTTATAATTATGAGACCCTCAACTCCACATTTTTGGAAGAAAAATAGGACATTTCGTAAAAACAAAAAAGTGCACTAATAAGGTGAGGCTGACTAAAAGTCTTCACTTGGGAAAAGTGACTGCATAAACTTAACAAGGAAAATGTTCCTCTCTGCTCAGAAATCTAAAACACTGCATCTGAAGTTGTTCTTACCTGAAGCTGTTGCGTTGAGAGGTGCTAAGTGGATCCTCTGGCCAGCTGACCCCACTTCTTTTTTGAGAAAGGAAGGAATATATCCTGACTGATTATAAGTAGCGTAACTTCCAAGATTTCCTAGTGATGTATCATAAAGTTTCATAGTCAGAAGGTGAATATTTTTGGCACAGTAGAATAACATTGACTACTACCCCCATCACTTCTAAATACTATTTTTGAGCATCTACTCTGTTGTAGGCAGCATGCTGTGCTTGTTACAGATATTCTTATTCCATCCGTACAACAACCCTCTTAAATCACATTAATATCTTTATCGTGTGGCTCTCCGATGTTAAGTAACTTGCCTAACTTCTCACAGTTAGTAACAGACTGAGCTGGACTCTGAACTCAAGGCCCAGAGGTATTATTCCGCTCACCTGAACACGCCAGGCTTTCTCACAACCCCACTTCTTAACGGGGGTATATTTCCTGCTGTGAAGCCCCCATCTCTGAAGTGCTCTCTTTGTCTGTCTTCATTCTGTAAAATGGTTTTAAGTGGACCTATTTTTTTTTTTTTCCGACGGAGTCCCACTCTGTTGCCCATGCTGGAGTGCAGTGGCACCATTTCCTCTTACTGTAACCTCTGTCTCTGGGTTCAAGCAATTCTCCTGTCTCAGCCTTCCAAGTAGCTGGGATTACAGGCATGTGCCACCACACCCAGCTAATTTTTAAATTTTTAGTAGAGATGGGGGTTCACCATGTTGGTCAGGCTGGTCTCAAACTCCTGACCTCAGGTGATCCACCCACCTCGGCCTCCCAAAGTGCTGAGATTACAGGTGTGAGACACCGTGCCCAGCTGTAAGTGGACCTGTTCTCATAGGGTTGTTGTAGGGATTGATGAGACTCTTCAGAGCATGTGACATAGACTCTGTACTCAGTAAATGTCAGCATCATTGTCATCATTATTGTCGCCATCATCATCACTATTGGTGAATGCTCCATCTGGTGGTAGCATAGGGATGCACTGACAATGAAAAATCTAAAATCTGGAGACCAGTCAGGAAGTCACTGCTTTAGCTGAAATGAGAGAGGATGAGGGTCTGAATCACGACAGTGGAAGAGGATGAAGAAGAAGGGAACAGAGCAGGTTTATAGGGTGGAGGTGGTAGGAAAGGGGAATGTAAACTCCTAAGTTTGTAGCTCAGGTGACTGGATGCATTGTCCAAGAACAGCAACATAGAGGAGAATCAGAATTGGTGGAAATGACATGGTACCAGGAGGACACTGAAGTTGTGGTAGGCAAAGGGTGAGTAGGCAGTTGTGGAGATTGGTAATGATCAGGGTGTGGTGTTTCCAGAGTTGTGGGCTTGGAGAAGCCAGCTCAGAGGGGCTGTGAATGTGCAGAGACCTGGAGTAGACCCCCAAGGAACACCAGTATTAAGGGACAGGAGGGAGAACAGGTAGAGAGGTAGATGGTAGGAGCAACCCGGCATGGAAATCCAAGAGAATACACATTGAGTGTGGGGAAAAAACGGAATGGGAGGTAAGGCAGAGAGCTTGGATGGGACCAGCACTGCCCATGGGATCTGGCCACTGGGATGTCAAGTTCTAGCGGGAGCTGCTGCAGTGGCAGGAAGCAGACTGAAGACAGATGATAGAGTTGAGGAGCCAGCTGAAAGCGACAGGTGCTAAGGAGCTAGCTCTGCAGGGAAGGAGACAGGCTTGTTCCCTAGAAGGTGAAATGTGGCTCTCATCACCCTCATGGTTTCAAAGCACTGTTCAGTGAACAGTGTTTTTTCCACAGTATCTGTTCACATGTCTCAACACTGGGCTCTGTGTCCCTGATGTCTCTCACGGCATATCAGGCTCTCAACAAGTGTCTGCTCTTGAAGCAATGATTGTCAAAGTGCAGTATTACGTTATCAGCCCCTAAAGGATTGTATACAGAAAGCACATGCTCTAAATCTATACGTGTTTAACTCTACTAAATTTTGCATAAGTTCAGCTGCCTACTTTAACCTTTTTCCCGTCTCAGAAACTCATTCTGAAACATTCATCATTTCTATTTTTGAAAGAGAAAGTCTCGTTCTGTTGCCCAGGTTGGAGTGCACTTAGTGGCGTGATCTCAGCTCACTGCAACCTCCGCCTCTTGGGTTCAAGCAATTCTCCTGCCTCAGGCTTCCAAGTAGCTGGGACTACAGGTGCATACCACCACTCCGAGCTAATTTTTGTATTTTTAGTAGAGACAGGGTTTCACCATGTTGGTCAGGCTGGTCTCGAACTCCTGACCTTGTGGTTCCCCTGCCTCAGCCTCCCAAAGTGCTGGGATTAAAGGTGTGAGGCACTGCACCTGGCCACTAATTAGTTCTTTACTTCAGAACACTTTTTGGAAGGAAATTCAAAGCAGTGATTGTATTCAATAGCAACTTCAGGTTGTGTCCCTTGCTCTCATACTCAGCAGCAGAGTAAATACTTATTAAATGTTTAGCGTGTGACAAAAATCCTAGGTAGGGTTATGTAAGAATACCTAAGGAAATTTCCTCCATTTTATGGACGGGAAAGCTGGCTTAAACAACTTGTCCCAAACCACAAAAGCTGGTGAGTGAAAAAATGGGGATATGTTGGACTCTAGGATTCATGCACTGAGCAGTTATAGGATGCTTCTTATTGGAGAAAGAAGTTGTTAGGGAAAAAAATAAGCAGAAAATTAAGTCTTCTTAAATTATTTTGGCTTATTATTTGAAGTACCTTATATACTGTGAATTTTCAGGCTGGAGCCAGTAGTTAGCACTGTTGAAACCAGTGACACTGAACCCCTAGGAAATCCCCCATCTCTATTAACCCAGTTAACTTTTTCATTTTTAAAATTATTATTATTATTATTATTATTTAAGAGGGAGTCTCTGTCACCCAGGCTGGAGTACAATGGCATGGTCTTGGCTCACTACAACCTCTGCCTCCTGGGTTCAAGCAATTCTCCTGCCTTAGCCTCCTGAGTAGCTGGGATTACAGGCATGCACCATCACACCCAGCTAATTTTTGTATTTTTAGTATAGACAAGGTTTCACTGTGTTGGTCAGGCTGGTCTCAAACTCCTGACCTCATGATCTGCTCACCTTGTATTCCCAGAGTGCTGGGATTATAGGCATGAGCCAGTGCATCTGGCCTCCAGTTAACCTTTTTCAAAAGGTCATTGTTCATGGATAAGAAATGAGTTTCAGTACTTCAAGAAAAAATTCCAGGAATATTGATTACAAAATTAGAAAATATTCTTTTAATTCTTTTCCTTAGAATTATTTGCTTGATTTATTCTATAAAATTCCATAATTAATTTAAGAAGACCAGCATAGAGCTTTTTGAGGCAAATTTATCTTAGAATGTCAACTACTGAAGGAAGATATTCTTGATGAGATAGGATGCTTTTCTGTATCCTAGTCCAGACTTGACTTCTAAAAGCAGATCATCTTGGCCTTTTATGTCAGGATCAGGGGCAAATGTTGAGAAGAAGATTAGACAAGAGATTCAAAGAACAAATTTCATTCATCTGATGCCCAGAAATTACCTTGTGGGTCCTCTAATTTTTCAGGAAAAGTTTCATTGCATGATAGTTTTTCAATTGGTTTAATTATGCTTTCTTCTAAAGGGAAGGCAGATGGAAAGAAAGAATAATAGGAGAATGTTTTAGGAAAAGCAGAGAAAAATGGATTAGATGATTCATGAAAAGACCCAGCAAGAACCCCTAAAAATGCAAAAATGTCCCCATGTGCTGTCACGGCATTTATTTGATGCCAACTGGATATTCCCTTGAGACTCAAAGTTGTTCTACTGTCATTTAATTGATTTTGTATAACTGGTTGGTTCAGTGAATATTATTTTTATGTATCTGAGGAAAAAATAAGTAAATTACACTGTTGAAGTGTATGACACCTCAGCAACATTAAATAGATAAGCTGAGTTTTAAAGTATCTGGAAAACCTGTAAAAAGTCCAAATGTATTGATCTCACTTCAGAATATCTCATAAACTACTCACTCATTATAATGGTAATTGTCAAACTTTTTTGATCCAATATCACCTACGTTAAAAAACAAACTACCTTTTCACACACTTCTAAGCTAATATTTAAAATTTTTAATCATAAGTTTAACAGTTGCAAAGGATGTTATTTCTGACATATTGTAACTACAGGCATTTAAAAAATAAAACTACTAGTGATTTTATGCCCTTCAATAGTGTCATAAAAATACAAGAACAAGTTCCTTTTTGACACTTGGATATTTCACATTAATTCCTTTTTCCCCTAAAATTATGTTTTTATTTAAACCTCAGCTTCAAAATTTGATCCAAATGTAATCTTAAGCTTAAAAATCTTAAAATTGGTCACTCTAACATGTGTAAATTAATTTTTTAAAAATTTCTTGTAACCATAAAGATATTAAAATACACAGTTATAATGATTAATTGTATATAATTAATCAAGATATATATTTTGATTACTAAACATAAAAATTAAGTTTTCTGGAAACACGTCTATCTCTTAATGAGAAAGATGGAACTTTTTTCAAGTAGTTCATGTATCAACAAATGAATATTTGTTGCTGGAATCACAGCATCAGGGCTATTTCCTCTTCTTTTTTCTTCCTTTTTGGAAACAGAAGTGCGAAGAAATCTTGCTAATAGAAACAGTTGGGAACAAAAGGGGTTTTGTGATAGCTTCACCACTCTATTCTTCAAACACTCTTCAAAGTTATAGATGAAAATTCATATACTGATCTCATAAAAAACAATTAAATATATTTTTTTAAATTACCTGTCAGCTAACAACTCAGGTCCTCCTTCAATTTTTTAAATGCTGAGAACTGTTAAGACTCCCTGACTTTAAAAAAGATCTGTTCTTCAGTCATCAAATCATAGTTACTTTCTCAACGGTGACCACAACATAGCAGAATTTCCATTTCCTTGGCACCCCAGATATTTTTACATTTTGGAGAAAAAGAAAACACACCATGGCGGCCAGTGAAAAGTCATCTTTTCTTTTGTAAAGGAGGAGGATAGAGACTCTGCCAGGGCAGATCCATTTCAGCAAAGATTCAGATGGAGGTTGAGAATTCCCTTAAAACTATCTATACTCAAGTATCAGTGGGAAAACCTTTTTTTTTATTATTATACTTTTTAATATATAGAGACATGGTTTTGCCATGTTGGCCAGGCTGATCTTGAACTCCTGGGCTCAAGGGACCTGCCCGCTTCTGCCTCCCAAAGTGCTGGGATTACAGGCATAAGCCACCATGCCCACCCAGCTGAAAATAGCTCTATTGAAGAGGCAGTGTTAAACTCCATGACTGCTCCAGCAGAGCAGGGCTCCGCCTAGGCAGAGAGTTGCAGAAAACCTTTGCATATTCCCCAGGTCCACATGTATCTTGGTTGGAAGAGCACTGCAATATATTTAAAAGTAGACATCTATAAAGGAAAACCATGTATATGTACATTTTGTATTCTTGCGTTACCTGCATTGCTCCTTTTGAAAGCAAGTTCTTCCCTGACAGGTCCCAGTGACTTAGGGAATAACTGATTGCTCCACGTGTGGGGGTTTATTTCCTTTCCACTGGCTATCAAGGACACATTCTTGGGATTCACACCTGAGAAGAACAAAGCAGCCACTTCGAAGGTCAGAGTGGATCATAACCTTGAAGGAAACATGTAATACATTCAAAGACTAGAAATACCTTGGACAGGAGAACGGAAATAAATTTAGGTGAAAATGTAGCAGATACTTGCTTTCTGATGAACACTAACGTGATCCCAAGCCCTTGGCACAGCCACCTGGAATGCTGACAGTACTTTATAAGCATTTATAAGTAGAAATGTTTTCTATACTGTAATAACATTTGATGTTCTTGCTAAGTTCTTGTAGAAACTGAGGTGGCACAATTTTTCTGCAACAACATGACTTTTTTTTTTTGAGACAGGGTCTCTCTCTCTCTCTCTCTCTCTCTCTCTCTCTCTCTCTCTCTCTCTCTTTGTCATCAGGCTTGAGTGCAGTGGTGTGATCTCAGCTTACCGCAGCCTCCACCTCCTGGGTTCAAGTGATTCTCCTGCCTCAACCTCCTGAGTAGCTGAGATTACAGGTGCCCACCACCATGCCTGGCTAATTTTTATATTTTTAGTAGAGAGGAGGTTTCGCCATGTTGGCCAGGCTGGTCTCAAACTCCTGGCCTCAAGTGAGCCATTTGCCTCGGCCTCCCAAAGTGCTGAGATTACAGGCATGAGCCACCACACCTGACCCAACATGACATTTTCATGTCACTTGTTTTGAGCATATACTCTTGGCCTAACCCATGGTGTAGCAGGGAAAACAGACATGTGACTAAGAACTCAGGCAAACCTCTGAGGTTCGGAGGTATGAAGCTCCGTCTGTAGTGCTTATTTGTATGTGAGATACAGTAAAATGGAAACAGTTTATTCCCTGTACACCAGAAAGAAGGCATTGGAAATGTACTTGGAAAGGGACACTTTAAATGATGATGTTCTGAAATCTGTGAAATGTCCATTCAGCCTTGGGCTGTGGTACTGGTGGTCAAAGGAAGTTGTTTCAACCTATTCTTGAGAGACTTGAAAACTTCTTGAGCTTGTTTTGTTTTCACTGATAATGAAATTAGGTGAACTTGCAGTCTATGCCTTTAGGTCATTCATGGAGAATTTTCTTTATCTAGTGTAGAAATCATCACTGAGGACTCCACTGATTTAAGAAGTTAAAACTGTCTCCAGGCAGTTGAGCTTTTGCTTTTCACAAGCCAAATTCCTTAGAAAGGCTTCATGTTTATGAGATATATAATAATATTCCTTATTTTGAAACCAGAAATACTGAGCTTCAAAAGTTCTCTAAGGAAACACTTCATCAGGCAAATAATTTCCCTTTCTTATAGGATATAATTTCCCTAATAAAACACCTACAAATCGAACTATAATAGGCAACTACTGGCTGGGTGTGGTGGCTCATACCTGTAATCCCAACACTTTGGGAGGCCAAGGCGGGCGGATCATGAGGTCGAGACCACCCTGGCCAACACAGTGATACGTCATCTCTACTAAAAATACAAAAATTAGCCAAGCAAGGTGGCACGTGTCTGTAGTCCGAGCTACTCGGGAGGCTGAGACAGAAGAATCGCTTGAACCTGGGAGATGGAGGCTGTGGTGAGCCCAGATCACGCCACTGCACCCCAGCCTGGGCATCACAACGAGACTCTCTCAAAACAAACAAACAAATCATCTTTAGGCTGGGTATGGTGGCTCATACCTGTAATCCCAGCACTTTGGGAGACTGAGGCAGGTGTATCACCTGAGGTCAGGAGTTCGAGACAAGCCTGGCCAACATGGCAAGACCCTATTTCTACTAAAAGAATACAAAAAAAAAAAAAAAAATTAGCTGGGCGTGGTGGTGCCTGCCTATAATTCCAGCTACTCCAGAGGCTGATGCACGCAAATCACTTCAACCCAGGACATATAAATTGCAGTGAGCCTAGATTCCGCCACTGCATTCCAGCCTGGGCTACAGAGCAAGACTCTGTCTCAAAAAAAATATATATAAATCTGCACCCAAAAGGGAAGTGCAAGATGGGGGTAAAACATTAAAAATTTGTGTGAACACAGTTCTCAGAACTGTAGTTCAACAAAGAATGAGTTCTGAATATTTAAATGATGTTTTAAATCCAGTTAGCCTTGGCAATATTCCTAAATAGGTTTTTTTTTTTTTTCAAGTAAAAAATATTTTTTTTTTTTGAGAGAGTCCTGCTCTGTCACCAGGCTTGAGTGCAGTGGTGCAATCCCAGCTCACTGCAACCTCTGCCTTCTGGGTTCAATCTATTCTCCAGCCTCAGCCTCCCTAGTAGCTGGGACTACAGGCGTGCACCACCATGCCCAGCTAATTTTTTTTGCTTTTTAGTAGCTATGGGGTTTCACCATGTTGGCCAGGATGGTCTCATGATTTGCCCACCTCTGCCTCCCAAAGTGCTGGGATTACAGGCATGAGCCCCTGCACCCAGTCACTCAAGTAAATATTTTTTTTTTTTTTTTTTTTGAGACAGAGTTTCGCTCTTGTAACCCAGGCTGGAGTGCAATGGCGCGATCTCAGCTCACCGCTACCTCCGCCTCCTGGGTTCAGGCAATTCTCCTGCCTCAGCCTCCTGAGTAGCCGGGATTACAGGCACGCGCCACCATGCCCAGCTAATTTTTTGTATTTTTAGTAGAGACGGGGTTTTACCATGTTGACCAGGATGGTCTCGATCTCTTGACCTCGTGATCCACCTGCCTTGGCCTCCCAAAGTGCTGGGATTACAGGCTTGAGCCACCACGCCCGGCCTCAAGTAAATATTTTAAAGTAAAAGGTAAGTAAGCAATTGAAGATAACTAGTTTAATTCAAGGTCTATTTAAGATGAAGATTGCAATTTTGTTGGAAATAGATATATTCTAGAATTTTGTTATTTATCAGTTTATAAGTTGTCATTACCTCCTACACACTAAACACTGTTAGGAGGAAGCATAAATTAATATAATTTGATATTATAATGATAGATATCATTATATGATGATAATTCCTTGCCTCAAACGGAATAAAAAAGGTCAGTAGCAAATATTTACTGAGCACCCACCAGTGCCAGGCAGTTTGTGTGGCACTGGAGAAAAAGTGGCAAACAAAATAGATCAATTTCTATTCTTTGGTGCTTATAATCTACTGAGAAGGGAGGCATTTTTAGTTATAACTAAGTAAATACATCATGAGCAGTGTTCGTAATGTTTAGAAGAAGCTGGGGTGGAGGGGGCAAATTAACAGAAGCAATTCAGCCAGTCTTTCTTTCAAATAGGCAATTTTAAGCTGAAATGTGAGTCATGATTAACCCATTTATGTCTGAGGCAGCATTTTTCTGAATTTTTGCAATCAGACCTTGGCGATGAACTTGAGCAGTAGGATATAAACCCACATGCTGAAGGTTCCAATAATGGAACACTAGGCATAAATGTGTTTTAAGGGGTGGGGAGGTGTGATCCTTGGAGAGGCAACAGTTTGGGCTGAGGACTTTAATGGGAAAGAACTCAGAGATGGCCAGCAAGGATGCAGCAAGAACACAGGGTGGTATAAAATGAGTCTGGAGAGTGGAGGAGGGACAGGCCATAAAGAATTTTGTATGCTGTGTTAAGAGAGTGAAAATGCAATAGCAGATGCTAATGTAGAAATGACACAGGGCATTGAATAAACAGGGTAGAAGGAAAGATGGTAAATAATGAATGGGAAGAGAGAAGCATCCACAGATCAGTTTCAGAAGTGCTGTGGAGGCTGGGTGCAGTGGCCCATGCCTGTAATCCCAGCACTTTGGGAGGCTGAGGTGGGCAGATCGCCTGAGGTCAGAAGTTCAAGACCAGCCTGGTCAACATGGTAAAACCTCATCTGTACTAAAATACAAAATACAGGTGCATGGTGGCATGCACCTGTAGCCCCAGCTACTTGGGAGGCTGAGGCAGGAGAATCACTTAAACCTGGGAGGCAGAGGTTGCAGTGAGTCGAGAAGGTACCACTGTACTCTAGCCTGGGTGACAGAGTGAGACTCTGTCTCAAAAAAAAAAAAAAAAAAAAAAATTAGCCAGACGGGTGGCAGGCGCCTATAATCCCAGCTACTCAGGAGGTAGAGGCATGATACTCTCATGCCTGGGAGGTGGAGGTTGCAGTGAGCCAAGTTGCGCCACTGTACTTCAGCTTGGGCAACAGCAAGACTCTGTTTGGGAAAAAAAAGTGCTATGGAGTGAGCTACTCTTCTGGCCAGCAGTGGTGGGTGGCATCAATTCATGCTCAGAGTCCTGGCTCTAGAAAGCAGGGAGTGAGACCAGAGGGCACCACTGAGAGATCATTAGCATTTCCACTGCCTACTCTTTGCAACTACTTTGTGATAATTTTTTTTTCGAGTATAATTCGCTTTTTAATTAGAACGAAGTGTGTAAATGACAGAATACCACCACCCTGCGCAGATGGCGGCCACAGAATAAGCATCGAATTCATTCTGCCCAAGAAAGGCGGGGGAGAGAGGACACAGCAAGACGTGAGCTGGCAGTCCCCGCCCCCTTGGTCCTGCCAGTGATAGCACCGACTGTCGGCCTGCACACGCCTCTTGAACGGTAAGCAGAGATCAAAAGCACAGCAGCAGTAATACTGGGTAAGTCCTTCCTTGCGTAAAATATCTGAATTAATTTATTGAAGGTATCAAAAATATACCCTGTAAACCAATACATATCTACATCTGCCTTTCCTTCCCACCGCTGCGGCAACGATGTCTGAAAAGAAGTCCAGTCCTTGCAGTAGCCCTTTGCCCCAGGCCGCATCCGGCCCTTCTGTCCGCCCACCTGGCCTGATGTGGTTTCCAGCGATCTCGTTGGCTGGGGCAGCCTGTGGGGACCGGAACGAGTGCACTGGGGACTGGACAGGGCCTGCGTCTGTCTGTCCAGAGCACGAAGTGGGATGAGAGGCGGAGGGAGGGTGCGGGGGCTGCGAGCTCAGCTTAGACTTTGGTTCCAAATGCATTCGGGGGAGGCAGTGGCATGGAGGTGCATGGTCGTGCTGCTTTGGGTCCCTGGCCACCCCGGCTGCCTGTGTGTGGCTGCCACACGCCTGCCGTGTCCCCTCCCCGGCCCCTTCCCCTCCCTTCTCGAGCACCAGGTAAACATCCCTTGAGTAAGGTCACTGCACAGGGCCAGCCCGGGGCGGGAGTCTTAGTTAAGGCTTCAGACAGGCAAGGATGCCGGCTCGGGATGGACAGATGGACAGAGGCGCAGGCAGATTCGGGGGCTCCTTCCTCGGTGGGGCGAGTCGGCAGCCACCCGACTCCTGCGAGGCTGTTCCTGTGGCTCGCTGGGACCCGACACTGCCCATCTCCCCATTCGGAGTCACTCGCTGTCAGAGTGTCTCGTACTGCAAGCAGAGCAGTGGCTTCGGCTCCTCATCCCAGGCGTGGTGGGGGCCAGCGAGGGGCCCGCTGCCCCAGGGGAGGCCCGGCGGGGGTGGGGAGGCCATGACACCCGCCTGCAGCTGCATGATCGGGGGTTGTAGGGGAACGGCATGGAACCTGCGGATGAGGGCCGGTCCTCCCACACGCAGTTGGCGAGTGGTGTCCGGCGGTTGCAGTCTCCCTCCGCGTACGCTGAGGAGACGGAGGGTGGCCAGTCCCCAGATGCCAGGCCTGGGGCTGGGGACTTGGCCTTTCGGCTGCTGGGTCTGCCGGAGACCTTGGCCTTCCTGCCACTGCCTGGTCCGGTGATGGCGGGCATGTTGAAGATCTCCGTCCCAGGCTGGCCGATATTGTATTCGGGCTCGTTCCGATTGTGGGTGTTCAGCTTCTTGTTGATCTGCTTCTTGGACTTGACCATGGCAGAGCTGCTCTCGGTCAGCTTGCTGAAGAAGGCTGGCGGCTGGCCGGTGCTGCCTGGAGACTTGGAACCCATCCTGCTGGGCTCCGTGTGCTCCCCATCCCGATACAGCAGCTGGTACACAGCGCTCCAGGGGTGCCCTGGCTCCCTCATGCCCTCCAGTGGCGACACAGGTTCAATACCGTCCTCACCGCCACCCAAGACCGACATCTTGCTTGTACTTTGTGATAATTAAAGTCCCTAAGGCTTACAGAGTGAGCTGATAGATGATACAGTCCCATTGTAAGTTACATAAAACAGAATCTCAAAGTCTTGCTTCAACTACACAGCCAGTCAGTAGCAGGTCAATAACTATGACTCTTTTTTTTTTTTTTTTTTTTTTTTTTTGAGACGGAGTTTCGCCCTTGTTACCCAGGCTGGAGTGCAATGGTGCGATCTCGGCTCACCGCAACCTCCGCCTCCTGGGTTCAGGCAATTCTCCTGCCTCAGCCTCCCGAGTAGGTGGGATTACAGGCATGTGCCACCATGCCCAGCTAATTTTTTTGCATTTTTAGTAGAGACGGGGTTTCACCATGTTGACCAGGATGGTCTCGATCTGTTGACCTCGTGATCCACCCGCCTCGGCCTCCCAAAGTGCTGGGATTACAGGCTTGAGCCACCGCGCCCGGCCTAACTATGACTCTTATGTCTCTTTCCTTGAAGGCCAGTGTCACATATCTGCCAATCCTTGTAGTATAATGTCATGCTGCCCTGCAATTATATGTACATTTCTAGAGCTCCTGTAATCCTAAAGATTGATGCTTTATAAGACCTTTTATACTTGAACCCAGAAGGCATAGGTTGCATTGAGCCGAGATCATGCCATTGCACTCCAGCCTGGACAACAAGCTAAACTCTGTCTCAAAAAATAAAAATTAAAGAAGTTTTATTTTTAGGTTTTAGGGTAAAGAGAGGGCCCCCAAAGATACAGTTTTTTTGTTGTTTTGTATTTTTGAGATGGAGTCTTGCTCTGTCACCCAGGCTGGAGTGCAGTGGTGCAATCTTGGCTCACTGCAACCTCTGCCTCCTGGGTTCAAGCGATTCTCCTGCCTGACACTCCCAAGTAGCTGGGATTACAGGCACGTGCCACTATGCCCACCTAATTTTTGTATTTTTAGTAAAGATGGGGTTTCATCATGTTGGCCAGTTTGGTCTCAAACTCCTAACCTCAGGTGATCCACCCACCTTGGCCTCCCAAAATGCTGGGATTACAGGTGTGAGCCACTGCACCTGGCCCAGATATTAGTATTTTTCATTCCTAAAGATACTCAATTACAAAAATAACTTGGATCATAAATAAATGTCAAGGATTGCTTCTTTTATTTTTATTTTTTGAGACAGAGTTTCGCTTGTTGTCCAGGCTGGAGTGCAATGGCACGATCTCCGCTCAATGCAACCTCTGCCTTCTGGGTTCAAGTGATTCTCCTGCCTCAGCCTCCCAAGTAGCTGGGATTATAGGTGTTTGCCACCATGCCCAGCTAATTTTTTATATTTTTAGTAGAGAAGGGGTTTCATTTGTTGGCCTGGCTGGTCTCGAACTCCTGACCTCAGGTGATCCACCAGCCTTGGCCTCCCAAACTGCTGGGATTACAGGCATGAGCGACTGTGCCCAGCCAAAGATTGCTTCTTATTTGAGTTTCTATCCTCTGCGTAGCTGCTGGTTCACAACAGGTGCTCGTTCAAGTGACTGAACTGAGCCCAGTTCTAGTTTTAAATCTCAGGACGGATCCTCTTGAAAACAATGAAGCCAACAAGTGACAGTAAGGCTCAAGTTTCTATTCCAAACAATTATTTGTAATTGAGTCTAAATTTGTAATTTTTTTTTTTTTTGAGATGGAGTCTCACTCTGTCACCCAGGTGGCACAATCTCAGCTCAGTGCAACCTCTGCCTCCCAAGTTCAAGCAATTCTCCTTCCCTCAGCCTCCCAAATAGCTGGGATTACAGGCACCTGCCACCATACCCAGCTAATTTTTGTATTTTTAGTAGAGACGAGGTTTCACCACGTTGGCCAGGCTGGTCTTGAAGTCCTGACCTCAGGTGATCCAGCTGCCTCAGCCTCCCAAAGTGCTGGGATTATAGGTGTAAGCCACTGCGCCTGGCCCTTAGTGATTAGACTTTTTACTTCACTGCTGTCCTTTCTTCAGATATTCTAAGACACTTTAACCTGACCTATCTGTATTCCAGCTAGCAGTAAACATTTTCTTTGCTCCACTTACCTGGAAGATATCTTGATTGTTTCAAGTAGTACTGTTTAGAGGCTGGAGCAGTTGACAATTCGGAATCAGACTTTAGGGAAATAGCAGCAGGTAAGCTCTTGTTTTCCCCTAGCAAGTGGTTGGAGCCCGAGGGTGCCAGCTCTGGAGGCCTTGAAAGCCAATGAAAGGTAGCATTACAGCATGAACAACGAGAAGTTCTCCCCCACCCTCTGCACAGCTCTCTACGCCAGTCAATCTGACCTCACATAAATGGTTTCCATTGGAGTCTTTTGGCTAACCGACAACTTCCCCTCCACCCCCGTAGATATTAGATCATGCACAGAATCATTTCTGATACCAGACAATAAGTGACAGGAAGCTTTATAACTGAGCGGCAATTTACTTATATGTAATATGTTTCTAACTGTCCTGCAGCTGCTGCAGCTGGATCCATAATGTGGGAAGTTGGCATGTTGAGAGGGAAATAATAGCCATCTTCAACTGTTGACTAAAATAATTTCAATCAATGAGGTTGTTTGGAGCCTGAAATAAACTGGTTTGGATGGCCTAAAAAAACAGAAGTGGGAAACGAAGTGCTTGAAAAACTCCCATACAGGCTGGGCACAGAGGCTCATCCCTATAATCCCAGCAGTTTGGCAGGCCAAGGTGGATGGATCACAAGATCAGGAGTTTGAGATCAGTTTGACCAACATGGTGAAAACCTGTCTCTACTGAAAATACAAAAATTGGCCGGTCGTGGTGGCCCATGCCTGTGGTCCCAGCTACTTGGGAGGCTGAAGCAGGAGAATCGCTAGAACCCAGGAGGCAGAGGTTGCCGTGAGCCAAGATCACGCCACTACACTCCAGCATGGGTGACAGACCGAAATTCTGTCTCAAAAAAAAAAAAAAAAAAAAAAAGAATAGAAAAGCTCCCATATAAGATTTCTAATTTCTCTAGTGTCAGGTACAGAAAATAGGTATTTGTGGAGATGTGCCTGTGTCTCAGTTGGCAGAACAGACTTATGCAGTGGCTAAGCACCTAGCTAGCTGTTGGGTGGTGTCAGTACTAAGACTGACTCTGCCCATCAGTCCCTGCCTCCCACAGTCCTGTTTCTGTGTTGGAACTGAGGACTTTCTGCTTCGAGGCTTAGTTCTGTCTCATTCCTGAGGCCTTTTTGACCAGGCAGCAGTGTGTGTGGCAGCCATTGCTACCAAAAGGGGAGGCTGGAACTTGTTTTGCTCCCTGTCTGGGTGCGTCACAATGAGCCCTCCATGACTGACCTCCCCACCACCCTCCGACTGGGCAGCTTCCTTGCTGGGGCCTGAATGTACTGTCCAACTTCCATCACTTGTTAACTTCAAGCATTCGTGGTTTCCACCCAGAAATTCGTGCTACCATACCCTACTCACCAAGTCGATCCCCTTCGAAATGGACACTCCCTTGGGTGGCCCTTCGAACTGCTAGCCACCTGTTTGGGGGCAGTTCCAGGCACAGGTACATCTGCCCACCATTTTTGGCATCTTTCCCTTCCCAAGCCCACTACTGTTATATCACTCACTGAAATTCTACTCATTCTCGCCAGGCATAGTGGCTCATACCTGTAATCACAGCACTTTGGGAGGCCAAGGAGGGCAGATCACCTGAGGTTGGGAGTTCGAGACCAGCCTGACCAACATGGATAAACCCTGTCTCTGCTAAAAATACAAAATTAGCTGGGTGTGGTGGTGCACGCCAGTAATCCCAGCTACTCAGGAGGCTGAGGCTGGAGAATTGCTTGAACTCGGGAGGCGGAGGTTGCGGTGAGCTGATATTATGCCATTGTACTCCAGCCTGGGCAACAAGAATGAAACTCCATCTCAAAAAAAAAAAGAAAAGCAAAGAAAGAAATTCTACCCATTTTCAAAACTGCTCACTCTAAAAAGACTTTTCTCTCCTCATCAGAGGGATTTCTGCCCAGAGACAAAATACCCAGGGCTTCTTGCAGCTCCGTCACTGGTGGCACTAAATACACACATATGTCATGTGATATAATCCTCTGGAGGTCTTATTCTGTTGGTATATATTTGATGAGTTGAGGAGAGGCTTAATACCAACTAGGTGTTTAGTAAACACCTACTGAATATAAATACAAGTATAAATGTAAGTATAAATATCTTGCTTTTGTTCACTTTTTTTTTTTGAGATGGAGTTTCACTCTTGTTACCTAGGCTGGAGTGCAATGGCGCGATCTCGGCTCACCGCAACCTCCGCCTCCTGGGTTCAGGCAATTCTTCTGCCTCAGCCTCCTGAGCAGCTGGGATTACAGGCACGTGCCACTATGCGCAGCTAATTTTTTGTATTTTTTAGTAGAGACGGGGTTTCACCATGTTGACCAGGATGGTCTCGATCTCTTGACCTCGTGATCCACCCGCTTCGGACTCCCAAAGTGTTGGGATTACAGGCGTGAGCCACTGCGCCCGGCGCCTTTGTTCACTTTTAAGAAGACCAGGCATGGTGGCTCATGCCTGTAATTCCAGCATGATTCTAAGTTTCCAGAATCCCTCACCAGAGGCAGATGCTGGCACTAGGCTTCCTGGACAGCCTGCAGAACCATGCGCCAACACATTCTTTACAGCAGTGCAAAAACGAACTGACACACTCTCTCTCTACACACACACACACACACACACACACACACACACCACTCATCTGTTAATACTGAGAATTGTTACCATGAGAAGATTCTTACCTTTTCAGAGGTATGCGAAAAGATCTGTATTTTGTGGAAGAAACCAATATTAAGCAAACGTTTTTCTTTTTTTTTTTAAGATGGAGTCTCACTTTGTTGCCCAGGCTGGAGTGCAGTGCTGCAATCTCAGCTCACTGCAACAATCACCTCCAAGGTTCAAGCAATTCTCATGGCTCAGCTTCCTGAGTAGCTGGGATTACAGGCGTGCACCACCATGCCCAGCTAATTTTTATATTTTTAATAGAGACAGGGTTTTGTCATGTTGGCCAGGCTGGTTTCGAACTCCTGGCTTCCAGTGATCCACTCGCCTCAATCTCCCAAAGTGCTGGGAATACAGGCCTGAGCCACTGCACCTGGCCTATTAAGCAAACTTTTTTTTTCATTTAAGGCCCATGTGCATTTATATTTAATGAGTAAAATAAAGTTGACACATGGCAAAAACATTTTTCTGAGGAATCTGAAATCTTACCGAGATGGAGAATCTTTCTTCCTTTTTTCTGTAAAAACACCCATGCTTGGCTTCTTGGAATGGGAGGCTCCGAAATCATAGTCCTCCACCTCTTCCCAGCTTTCTCCAGATTTGAAGATAGTCTGGCCCCAACGCCTCCTACCACTTTTATGATTCAGTGTGCCATTTGGCTTCTGTGGTGGAGAATCAGTTGTCATAATCTTTAATCATGTACCAAATGCCTTTCACACACAAGTTACTCTATAAGACACTATAAGAGTTCCCATTCTCAAGGAGCGTTCCATACACTTTAGGGCATAATGCATATACGCACTTACAAGCATGAAAAAAATTGGGTGGTGTATGCCAAAAATATGATAGGTGCTCAGAGGAGAGATCTCTGTGAACTGGGATGGTGGGAGACGAATATTTAGGGTCTGCGTTAACTCTTTAATGACATGAAGGATCTGGAAACCTGAGACTTGGCTATGTCTCTTTGGACAAGTGACTTAACTTCTCAAAGCCTTAGTGTCCTTTTTAAGTGGGGACAGCCTCAATGAGAAGGACACTAAGGGTGGCATGTGCCAGCATCTTTTACTCTTCCCTCTGCTAGAATGCAGGCAAACACCCAAAGGAACACCAGTCATCCTGTGGGCACAGGCATGAAAGCTACCTGCTCAGGGTGTCAGAGCGAGAAGCCAGCAGCAGCCTTCCTCCTCTGCAAGCTGCATGAGCTCCAGCTGCCCACCACCTGATTTCTTGTCATGTGAGAAAAACAACCCCTATTGTTTAAGCCACAGTGGTCGAGTTTCTGTGGTAAGTCCCTGAATGTAATCTTAATGAACGCAGAGGCACATATGAGTCTGTTACAGAATGGAGGCATCATTAATAGAAATAAGGAACAGGAAAGAGGTCTTGGCTTGGGAAACAATGAATTTTTTTTTGAGGCAGAGTTTCACTCTTGTTGCCCAGGCTGGAGGGCGATGGTGGGATCTCAGCTCATCCCAATGTCTGCCTCCTGGGTTCAAGTGATTCTCCTGCCTCAGCAGGAGTAGCTGAGATTACAGGCATGCACCACCATGCCCGGCTAATTTTGTATTTTTTGTAGAGACAGGGTTTTTCCATGTTAGTCAGGCTGGTCTTGAACTCCCAACCTCAGGCGATCCGCCTGCCTTTGCCTCCCATAGTGCTGGGATTACAGGTGTGAGCCACCGCGCCTGACCTGAATTGGTTTTATACAAATTTACAGAGAGTGGTTTAGGGGCACATAAATGGAAAAATCCAAAAGGCAAATCAAAACTAGGGAATAGAGCATGGAAATTTTTCAGAAAACACAGCTACGTTGGGTGCAGGGAGATGCTGAATGGCCATGCTATTGCTTGAAGCTGATGGTGTCACGGTGAGTGATGGATGATAATTTAAAAAAGTATTGGTCAGCTTCTACCCTATTCTTTTCTCTGTCAGGCAGAACAATCTCCAAAATCAAGAGCATAAAAAAGTGTTAAGTAGGATTAATAAAAGGTTACCCTTAGCTGAGTTTGAGTCTGACTTCTGTTGAACTGTATTTTAGGGTACTGATGCTGAACACTGCTCAGCAATGTCAGTGATATCCAAGAATCTTGTGTGTCTGAGAAGAGTGGAAAGGGGCAAATATAATAATTTTAATAAAGTAGAAGATTTATTTTGGCTAATTCCACATCAGTAAGTTTGGTAAGGATGAGGGCAAAGATTCTAAAATCAGTTATTAAAGGGGATGTTTGTGGGCACTGAGGGAAAACGGTGATAGCTCAGATAGACCACCCTTTTTCAGAAAAGGCAAACAATGAGTTCATCTGATGTAGTGTGTGTGGGCTTCAGCCCAGTGGGTGAAAGCAGCAAAGGGGGATCAGCACACAGCTGAAGAACATGACCAAGAGTACCGACCAGTGGATCAATGTCAGTCTAGAGGACAGTTCTATGCCCTGCCCAAGATCTCACGGTCGTTCTATGTGTATATCATGAAGATTCATGAGCAAAACAGACAACTGAACAAATCCATAGCTGGCAACAAGCTGGGCAGAGTGGGTAAACTGAGAAGAAAAAGATAAAGATTCAAAAATAATTAGAAATTGGAGATGTAAAAGATCTTGCAACTTTTTGAAACCTAGAGATGAAATATGCAAGTCAGAGGTACAGAATATGCGATTTAGAAGCATTTATGAAAAAATGGGTTACTTAGAAATTTTAGTTGACAACATACTTAATCCCAGCTCTGAAACTTACGTATATAAAAATATGTGTGTGAGGGGGTGGGGGAGGGCGGCTAGGTTATTCTCTTTAACTTAAGAGAATGCACAAAGGGTGCCTAGCATATGCATGGCACTTAGTATTAACTTCCTTTCCTTCCCTCACAGTATGAGTCAGCATTTGAAGTACTTTCCAAGGGGCTTGGGGGAGGACTGTAATCGTAGGTGACATGAGTGCACATGTTGTTTGGAATGTTGGAGGTGACTAATTAGTCCTGCTCTATACTCCCTGCTTGCTGTTTGCCTCCAGCTGTGGCAGCCTCATTCTAAGTAGGAAGGGGGATGAAAGGAAACTTAAATAAAGGCGCATTTGTAATAGGAATTGAGAGTTATCAGTCATTGATGAAAGGTGTTATATGCAGAGCCCTTGAGGGAATTGGAGATGTTTCTCCAGAGAAAAGGGCAGATAATGTAACAGCTATTTTCAAATATGTAAAAGGCGGCCTTTCTAGAAAAGTGATTAGCTTTCACTAAAAGAAAGAAAACCAGATTTTGCCCAGTGTAAGGAAGAACTTTCTAATATTCAGAACTGTTCCAAAGATAAAGTGGACTCCCCAGCACCCCAGAGGTGGTTTACAAGCCTTGTAGGCAATTACTCATTCCTTCATTCACTGAACAAACATTTACTGAGAATCTCCCATGTGGCAGGCCCTGGTCGGGGTTCTGAGGCTGTACTGATGAACAGAACAGACAAACATTCCTGACTTCATTGAGCTTTCGTTCCAGAGGAAGAGACAAATAAACAATAAACATAAGAAATAAGTAATTAACACTACGTGAGAATGTGATTAGTGCTATTGGAGGAGCAGACCTTGCTTATACTAGGTTGCGGGGGCAGGTGAGGACTGGATAAGGAAATAGATATGGTGCTGTGTAAGACAGATTTCCATCCTAAAATGCCATAATTCGAACACAATTGGGAGTGTATACCCCAAGGGGACAGCTAAAATACTACAGTAACTGATGAGCTCCCAGAGCTGAACAAAAGACGGAAGAAGTTGTTTTATACTATACCTGACACTTTAAAAACCCATTCTAACTGGGCATGGTGGCTCATGCCTGTAATCCAGCACACTGGGAGGCTGAGGTGGGCAGATCACCTGGAGTCAGGAGTTCAAGACCAGCCTGACCAACATGGTGAAACACTGTTTCTACTAAAAATACAAAATTAGCCAGGCGTGGTGGCACACACCTGTAATCCCAGCTACTTGGAAGGCTAAGGCAGGAGAATCGCTTGAACCCAGGAGGCGGAGGTTACGATGAGCTGAGATCATGCCATTGTACTCCAGCCTGGGCAACAATAGTGAAACTCCACCTCAAAAAATAATAATAAAAATAAAAAATAAAAACCCATTCTCTCCATGTCCTTTAGCATTTAAGAACACCATAAAATGACAGTACTGTTAAAAATTCTTAAGATTTAGGATCAGTACTCTGGAGTACCTGATTCTTTTAAATTCTTTGATTTTTTCTGCATTGAAAGAACTTTAGGCTGGGCTTGATGGCTCATGCCTGTAATCCCAGCACTTTGGGAGGCCAAGATGGGTGAATCACCTGAGGTCAAGAGTTCAAGACCAGCCTGGCCAACATGGTCTCAACAAAAATTACAAAATTAGCCAGGTGTGGTGGTGGGCGCCTGTAATCCCAGCTACTCCTCAGGAGGCTGAGGCAAGAGAATCGCGTGCACCCAGGAGGTGGAGATTGCAGTGAGCCAAGATTGCACCATTGCACTCCAGCCTGGGCAAATAGAATGAAAGTCTGTCTCAAAGAAAAAATAAAAAGGCCAGGCACACCCAAAATCCCAGCACTTTGGGAGGCTGATGCAGGTGGAACACTTGCAGTCAAAAATTCAAGACCAGCCTGGGCAACATGGTGAAACCCCATCTCTATTAAAAATACAAAAATTAGCTGGGCATGGTAGGCAGACTCCTGTCTGTAATCCCAGCTACTTGGGAGGGTGACGTAGGAGAATTGCTTGAATCTCAGAGGTAGAGGTTGCAGTGAGCTGAGGTCCTGCCATTGCACTCCAGCCTAGGCAACAAGAGTGAAACTCCATCTCAAAAAATAAAAAAGACTGAAGACTGTAACATATAAACTTGGTTACTTTCATTCTGAAAGATTTTCTTTTTATAAACCATATTAGAATTTTAAGTGATCTCATGTCCCTGAACCAGAGGACTCAGGGTCTTTAACAAAGAATAATTGTTTATATCTTCTCCAATGTAATTAGAAATGCCTCGAAACAAAATCTTAATTGCAGTAGTCAAACAATTCCATTTCAAGCGTCATGACTGGCTACTCACAGTTGGCATGTTTTTGATGATGTTTGGGAATCGTGTTTGTGGCGGTTTCTGCTGATTCTGTTGCTTTGGTGGTTGCTGGATGCTCAGGTTTTGTGGCGGCTGAATGGGCTGCAGTGGCTGATGGCTAGTTTTTGACTGGGATTGTCCAACAGTCTGATCAATTACATCTGGTAGAGGCTTGGGCTCTACTTCAACTAAAGATGGCTTTGATTCTAATGGTTGCAGCTGCGTATTTAAAGACTGTTTTGATTCCAGATGATTTGAGGAAGGGCCTAATACCTGACCAACTTGAAAATATGTGTGTTTCAATGCCTATAAAAACATAGAATAACAACAAATGAAAAATGGTTCCACCTAAATGTATTGCACATAAACTATGATTGGCCCTTTGTGAGGGCCACAGGAGCTATCATTAGCCCACAGGTGCTTCCAAGATTTAGGAAGCAGCCATCATTCCCTATACAGTACCCCTTTTAAAAGGTAACTGGAAAAAAATGATTTGAGAAATAAATTGTGCTAAAAAATAAAAAGTGGCTCACGCCTGTAATCCTAGTACTTTGGGAGGACGAAGCAGGTGGAACACTTGCAGTCAGGAGTTCAAGACCATCCTGGCCACTATGGTGAAACTCCATCTCTACTAAAAATACAAAAATTAGCTGGGCCTGGTGGCGTGTGCCTATTGTCCCAGTTACTCAGGAGGCTGAGGCAGGAGAATCACTTGAACCTGGGAGGCAGAGGTTGCAATGAGCTGAGATCGAGCACCACTGTACTCCAACCTGGTGACAGAGCAAGACTCAATCTCAAAAAAAAAAAAAAAAAAGAGAGAGAAAGAGTCTACTATGAGATGCCTTTTTGCAACCCATGACAGATTCCTTCATAACTAGTCTGTCACATGTCTGAATTTTTATCATTGCAAACTGATTCCTTGTTGCAACCTCAGGGTTTCTCATTTGAACCACAAAACACAGAAAATCATTGGTGTAGCTATTTTTGCATTTCTCCCAAGGATCTTCTATGCCTATAAATTAATTTATGACATACACTGTATGCCAAGGGCTTTGTGTTTAATTCTCTTAGTAAAATCCTGGTTGAGAATAGACCTGCCTTTGTAAATGAAAACATCCCTGATATTAAAAAACCTGAAAGATTTAAAAGGTCTCACAGGAAGACTCATCTTACCTGGCTTGCTCTTGGTCGTTTCATTGGATCCCAATTCAACATTTCAGTCATGAGCTGAATAGCTTCATTACTGGCATTGGGAATCAGAGTTTTTAAGTTTATAGGAATACACTGGGGAAAACGAAAGTTCATAGAAGATGCCAGCTGGTATCCTTCTGGCCAGTCGCTCTGTTTCAGGAATAGATAAGTGTGGGTGGGGAGAGCAAAACAAATTCTTTTTAGTAATCCATTTAAAACACATAGCAGTAATATAAACATCATTTATGTTTGGACATTTTCATGTTGATCCATAAATAAACATGAGAATAAAATACCAGTCCAGGTCTAGAATGCAGTGCTATGACAATATAGAAAAAACATTAAGCTGAGAGTTCGGAAACAATGTGAAAAGCACTTTTATAACCTTTTTTTGTTTTTGAGACGGGAGCTGGCTCTGTCATCCAGGCTGGAGTACAGTGGTGCAATCACGGCTCACTACAGCCTCACCCTCCAGGGCTCAAGAGATCCTCCCACCTCAGCCTCCTGAATAGCTGGGACTATAGGTGTGCACCATCATACTGGCTAATTTTTTTTTTTTTTTTGAGACAGGGTTTCACTATGTTGCCCAGGCTGGTCTTGAACTCCTGGGTTCAAGTGATCCTTCTGCCTGGGCTTCCCAAAGTGCTGGGATTACAGGCATGAGCCACCATGCCTGCCCTTTATAAATTTTACAATATTAAACTCTTGTCTGGTTTTTGATCCTGATGGTGATGCTGCTGTGATGATATCTGGGCTAACTCTGAACAAATAAGGAAAAGTGCTTTACAAAGAGGCTGACTGCTAACAAAGATCTCTGTATATACTATGTATCACAGCCAGTGTTAAAAATGCACACATCTGGGAAATGACAATTACATTAAAGCTTTAATATCTACATTACTTGTGTAATGTTAACTACAAGGCTCATACTAATTTAATTAGGATGTCATTATATACACACTTATAAAGCATATCTTAGAAAGTAAGGTGTAGATAAAATATAATTAATTATAGTTAATTGCAAAGTACTCAAATAAGTCAAATGTCCATAGGAGAGATATATAAAAGGAAACAAGAAAGGGTTAAGAAAAAATAAGGTTCAATACACCAGGGGTTAACAGTTGATGTCAATGGCCAGCCAGAGAGTGAGTGAGTAGGAAAGAGCCCAAGTAAGGCTGTCTGTGCAGTGTCGGCTGGGCATCACCCCCAAGTTACACTCTAACCACATAGAATTTCTTAAGTTCTTAAGAAAAGGCAAGCACCTGTTATTCTTTTTTTTTTTTCTTGAGACAGAGTTTCACTCTTGTTGCCCAGGCTGGAGTGCAATGGTGCAATCTTGGCTCACTGCAACCTCTGCCTCTGGGGTTCAAGGGATTCTCCTGCCTTGGCCTCCCAAGTAGCTGGGATTACTGGCACCCACCACCATGCCCAGCTAATTTTTGTATTTTCAGTAGAGATGGGGTTTCGTCATATTGGTCAGGCTGGTCTCGAACACCTGACCTCAGGTGATCTGCCCACCTTGGCTACCCAAAGTGCTGGGATAACAGGTGTAAGCCACCGTGTCTGGCCTAAGCACCTGTTTTTCTTCAGCTGGTGGAATCCTGGCTTCTTGCAATCCTTAACCCACTCTGATTTAAAAAATAAGGATTATGGCCAGGCGCAGTAGCTCGCACAAAGTAATCCCAGCACTTTGGGAGGCCGGGGTGGGCATATTATATATTACTTGAGCTCAGGAGTTCGAGACCAGTCTGACCAACATGGTGAAACCCTGTCCCTACTAAAAATAGAAAAACTGACCAGGTGTGGTGTTCATGCCTGTAATCCCAGCTACTGAGGATGCTAGGGCAGGAGAATCGCTTGAACCTGGGAGGTGGAGGTTGCAGTAAGCTGAAACTGTGCCACTGCACTCTAGCCTGGGAGACTGAGTGAGACTCCATCTTAAAAAAAAAAAAAAAAAAAAAAAAAAAAAGGATTATAAGAAAATTAATCATTAAAGAATGAGCCTATTCAAAATGAAAATACCAGATATCTAGGCAAAAGTTATAAATAATGAAAAATTACAAAATTAAAAGCAAAGTAGCAAGTTAGAAATAATCAAAAGTTATAGCCACTAAGGGACAAGAGTACTTACCTTTTTGGGAGTCCCTAAAACTTGGCAAATTTTAAAGATTTCATCAACCTCACTTGTCCCTGGAAAAAGTGGCCTTAACATATAGAGTTCAGCCATGATACTTCCAACAGCCCACACATCAATGGGAGAGCTATACACGGAAGATCTGAGCAAAACTTCAGGGGCACGATACCTAAGAAAATAGAAAACAAAACAAAAGAAGTTATTTTGATTGCAATTTCAAAGGTGGATGGGCAGTAGCAGTCTACTCTTTTTGGTGATGCTCATTTCCATCAAAGAGTAGATATTCAGACCTGGTTCCTTCTGTATGTCAGTTATTTGTACAATGTTCTAGGGTCAATAGGACATAACACATGTTACCTGACCACAGACAATGAATGGGGCTGGTGACAAATGTAAATGAAATGTCCATGAAGCCCAAGACAGGAACTCAAATGAATAGATATGGAAATAAGTGCTATCTGATATATTAAGAAAAAAAAAATTGGGCCAGACATGGTGGCTCACGCCTGTAATCCCAGCACTTTGGGAGGCTGAGGTGGGTGGATCATGAGGTCAAGAGATCAAGACCATCTGGCCAACATAGTAAAATCCCATCTCTACTAAAAATAAAACAATTAGCCAGGCGTGGTGACGTGCACCTGTAGTCCCGGCTATTTGGGAGGCAGAGGCAGGAGAATTGCTTGAACCTGGGAGGCGGAGATTGCAGTGAGCCAAGATCTTGCCACTGCACTGCAGCCTGGTGACAGAGTGAGACTCTGTTTCAAAAAAAAGAAAAAGAAAAAGAAAAGAAGTAGAAAAACCATGTTACAAAGCATTATATTCAGCGTCTATTCACCATGAAGTACAGAAAACAAAAGATGAACAAGGATTAGCCCTGAGTAGTGGAGTTTTCTCTTCTTTTTACCAGTTTGAAAGTGCTGATATCCTCAACGGACTCCTCTTCTGTGGTCAACAATATTTTTATTGAGAAAAATACTCAATTTACAAGAGCAAAGTGAGCTGGTGAGTCCAACAGTTTGCTAAATGGAAGATACTCTCAATTTCTCAATTCTAACTCTTTTTTTCTAACCAAAATGTATAGATATTTCAGTACAAATGTTTGGCAGTACTGACTAGTTTTGTTCAGTATCATTTCATTGTAATGTTGATGAAAGAAAGAGAAAGACAGAAAGTAAGGGAAGGGAAGGGAGGAAGGAAGGGAGGGAGGGAAGGGGAAGGGAAAGGGAAAGGGAAGGGAAAGGAAATGGATTCCTGACTGGGCCACTGTGGGGTCTGCATGTTCTCTCCAAGTCTACATGGGTTTTCTCCAGGGCTCCAGCTTCTTTGCATATCCCAAAGATGTGCATGTCAGGTGAACTGGGGTGTCTGGTCCCAGGATGAGTAAGTGTACATGTGTGTGTGTGTGGGGGGGGGGATGCTGCCATGGGAGGCTGTGCCATCAACAGTTGGTGCTCACCTTGCACCCCCAGCTACCAGGACACGCTGTAGCCACCTGTGACCCTGAACTGGAATAACTGGGCAAATAATTATCTTCCTTCTTTTTATTAGTCTTTCTTTTTCTTTTCTTCCTTTTTTTATTTTTTGAGATGGAGTCTTGCTCTGTTGCCAGGCTGGAGTGCAGTGGTGCAATCTTGGCTCACTGCAACCTCTGCCTCCGGGTTCAATTGATTCTCCTGCCTCAGCCTCCTGAGTAGCTGGGACTATAGGTGCACCATGCCAGGCTTATTTTTGTATTTTTAGTAGAGATGGGGTTTCACCATGTTGGTAGTCATGGTCTCGATCTCTTGACCTCATGATCCTCCTGCCTCAACCTCCCAAACTGCTGGGATTACAGGCATGACCCACGATGCCCGGCCTTAATCTTTCTTAAATGTATGTGTAGCTCACATGTATTCAATGTTCAATATTAGTGTCTTGGTCACTATTTAGAAGTTTGGCCCAGGTGCGGTGGCTCATGCCTGTAATCCCAGCTCTTTGGGAAACCGAGGTGGGCAAATCATCAGGTCAGGAGTTTGAGACCAGCCTGGGAAACATAGTAAAACCCTGTGTCTACTAAAAATACAAAAAATTAGCTGAGTATAGTAGCAGGTACCTGTAATCCAAGCTGCTTGGGAGGCTGAGGCAGAAGAATCACTTGAACCCAGGAGGTGGAGGTTGCAGTGAGCTGAGATCACACCACTGCACTCTAGCCCGGGTGACAGAGTGAGACTCTGTCTCAAAAAAAAAAAAAAAAAAGAAATTTGGTGATGTTTTTTGACCAGAAACAAGCCTAAAATTGTTTATTTTAATTAGCACATGGTCGAATTGGTTTCATTGTACGTTGTTTCACTTAAAGTCATAGTTTCCAAGAACCTATTGATGTTAGGTGAGGACTTACTGTACTTTCTCTGACAAATATTTTTACAAGCTTTATTGATACATGTCACATAATGTATAGTTGATCTACTTAAAGTGTACATCACACTGCTTTCTCCTGGGGGGCCTTCACATGTCTTCCCAAATCCATCTCTGTGTCTGTCTTCTTATAAGGACATCAGCCTTACTGGATGAAAGGACCAATCATGTTCCAGTATGACCTCATCTTAGCTTGATTACATCTGCAAAGACCCCATTTCAAAATAAGTTCACATTCCTAGGTAACCAGAGCAAATCCATCATGAAAGGCTTGGTGCTGCTCTCATGTAGTGAATAAGTTCTTTTTCAGGCAAGATGAGATTAGTTCCTGAGAGAGGGGCTGCTCCACAGCAAGCTTCCTCCTCTTTTTTGTTCCTTCCTTGAGTGTGCCCATTTCCCCTTTTACCGTCTCTTTTTTTTTTTTTTTTTTTTTTTGAGATGGAGTTTTGCTCTTCTTGCCCAGACTAGAGTGCAAAGGCACGATCTCAGCTAACTGCAACCTCCACCTCCCGAGTTCAAGTGATTCTCCTGTCTTAGCCTCTCAAGTAGCTGGGATTATAAGCATGCGCCACCATGCCGGGCTAATTTTGTATTTTTCTAGTAAAGACTGGGTTTCACCATGTTGGTCAGGCTGGTCTCAAATTCCCGACTTCAGGTTATCCACCCACCTTGGCCTCCCAAAGTGCTGGGATTACAGGCATGGGCCACTGCACCTCAAGGGGCCTTCTCTACCATGTTTTGATTCAGCATAAAAATCCACACCAGAAGCCAAGCGGATGGCGGTGTGATGCTTCTTGTACAGCCTGCAGAACCAGAAGCCACATAAACCTTTCTCTCTCACCTTCCCAGCCTCAGATGTTCCTTTACAGCAACACAAAACACACTAAGACATGGACTCCTTTCTTTTAGTACCCACCTCTGATTCATTTGTGCTCACACCTGTAGTCCCAGCACTTTGAGAGGCTGAGGTGGGCAGGTCACCAGGTCAAGAGATTGAGACCACCCTGGCCTCTACTCTATCTCTACTCAAAATACAAAAAGTAGCTGGGTGTGGTGGCGTGTACCTGTAATCCCAGCTACTTGGGAGGCTGAGGCAGGAGAATCGCTTGAACCCGGGTGGCAGAGGTTGCAATGAGCCAAGATCAGGCCAGTGCACTCCAGCCTGGTGACAGAGCAAAATTCCGTCTAAAAAAAAAAAAACAAAAAACCAGAATTCCACACACCTCACTACTTGCATGGCCAGTAGGTGCAAGTCACTATCATTTCTGGCCAATCCACAAACTCTGCCCTTGTTTCTTATGACTGCCCTCCTTATTCATTCTGCACTGTGCAGAATTCACTGGGGGTGTGATCCTGTCCCAAGGCTTTTACACTTAGCATTTGCTCTGCCTAAAAAATTCCTGCTTGTCCTGGCATCTCCTTCAGGGCTACTCTCAGCGAGACCCTCCATGTAAAATAGCAACAATTCTTTCCCTCCCTATCTCCCTGCCCCTTCCATATTTTATTTTTCTTTGTAATGTATCAACATCTGATACACACATATTTTTCTTTTTTTCCTGAGAAAGAGTCTTGCTCTGTTGCCCAGGCTGGAGTGCAGTGGTGCGATCTCGGCTCACTGCAACCTCTGCCTCCAGGTTCAAGTGATTCTCATGCCTCAGCCTTCCAAGTAGCTGGCACCAAGGCACATGACACCACGCCTGGCTAATTTTTTTGTATTTTTACGAGAAACAAGGTTTAGCCATGTTGGGCCAGGCTGGTCTGGAACACCTGGCCTCAAGTGATCCCCCACCTCAGCCTCCCAAAGTGCTGGGATTACAGGCGTGAGCCAATGCACCCAGCCTGATACATATATGTTCTGTTTTCACTGGAGCATAATCACACAAGCATTATAAGAGTAAAGCTTGATGAATTTCCACAAATACAACACATGCATGCATCCAGATCAAGAAAGGCATGTTATCAGCACACAGAAGGCCCCTCGTGGTCATCCAGGCACTACACATACCCCACCCCATGGAACTGCTTGCTACCCTGACTTTGTTTTTGTTTCTTTTTTTTTGAGGCAGTCTCACTCTGTCGCCCAGGCTGGAGTGCAGTGGCATGGTCTCGACTCACTGCCACCTTCACCTCCCGGGTTAAAGCAACTCTCTGCCTCAGTCTCATGCCTCAGTAGCTGGGACCACAGGCACCTGCCACCATGCCCAGCTAATTTCTGTATTTTAGTAGAGACGGGGTTTCACCATCTTGGTCAGGCTGGTCTCAAACTCCTGATCTTGTGATCCACCTGCCTTGGCCTTCCAAAGTGCTGGGATTACGGGTGTGAGCCACTGCACCTGGCCACTATCCTTTTATGGCACAGATTAATTTTCTCTGTTTTTGTGTTTTACAGAACGAAATCAGTATGTACACTTTTTCTGTTTGGCCTGTTGCTCTCAACATTAAGATTCATTCACATTGTGCATGCAGTTGTAGACCGTTCATTCTCATTGTTGCAAAGCATTCCACTGGGTGAGTATACAATGCAACTGTTCATGGACATTTGGGTAGTGTGCAGTTGAGATTATTCATGTCTTTTGGTGAACATGTGTATGTCTTTCTGTTGGTGACTTATAATAACTTGTTTATTTGTGTACTGGCTGTCATGTAAGTAGCATGAAGCAGAGATTTTTCTTTTATTTTTTTATTTCACTGCTGTGTTCTCTGTGCCTAAAATGATGTTTGGCACATAATAGGTGTTCAACAAATATTTGTTGAATGAATGAGTGAATAAATGAAATTCTTTTTCCTTGTTTTTTCAGTGATCAGAATAGCAATAAACCAATCCTTCTATCCCTTTAAAGAACACAAAATTCAGTTCTATATTCTGTTTTAAATATTCAATATAGAAACTCCAGAAATCTGTAACAATCCATTGTAGGAATGCTTCAACATAGACTTATGCCTCAGGAGAATCGCATAACACTACTTACCATCTAGTAGAGACATAATCAGTGTACGGTGGCTGTGACCTTAATTCTCTTGCAAGTCCAAAATCAGCAATTTTCACAAGTTCTGGACCCATACAAAGCAAGTTTTCTGGCTTCAAGTCCCTATGAAAAAAGCCTTGGTGATATATAGAGAAAAAAATACAATAAATCATTATGCTTAAACACAGCTGTATTTGATTTATAAACAAAATATAAATGAACCCCTCTTTTACAGTTAGAAACATCATCTTAGAAAAAAAGTAAACTGGCCAGGCATGGTGGCTCATGCCTGTAATCCCAGCACTTTGGGAGGCCGAAGTGGGTGGATCACTTGAGGTCAGGAGTGTGAACCAGCCTGGCCAACATGGTGAAACTCTGTCTCTACTAAAAATACCAAAAAATCAGCCGGGGATGGTGGTGAACGCCTGTAGTCCCAGCTACTCTGGAGGCTGAGGCAGGAGAATTGCTTGAACCCGGGAGGCGGAGGTGGCAGTGAGCCGAGATCACGCCACTGCACTCCAGCCTGGGTGACAGAGCGAGACTCTGTCTCAAAGAAAAAAGTAAACCATATTTATTGTCTAAGAAGTAATGGGATGTAGGGACCCTGCTTTTTCTTTTCTTTTCTTTTTTTTTGGAGATAAAATCTCACTCTGTCACCCAGACTAGAATGCAGTGGCGCGATCTCAGCTCACTGCAACCTCCACCTCTTGGGTTCCAGCAATTCTCCTGCCTTACCCTCTGGAGTAAATGGGATTACAGGTGTCCACCACCATGCTTGGGTAGTTTTTTTTTAATTTTTAGTAGAGATGGGGTTTCACCATGTTGCCCAGGCTGGTCTCGAACTCCTGACCTCATGATCCACCCAACTCAGCCTCCCAAAGTGCTGGGATTATAGGCATGAGCCACTGCACCCAGCCAAGGCTGGGAAGACTTTCTAAGCCTAAATGTTTTTAGTCACTTCAAAGTCAGAGTGGGCTTTGTTTGTGACATCTGTAACAGTTCTGTAATCTGAGTTTATACAGTACTTCTAACTCTAAATAGCTGGTAACATCCATTTCACTATGTCCAAGAGACATTCATTGCAGTTTTGTAATGTAATGGCAGGAATGTGATGCAGAGCGGAGTGACACTAATCCATAAAGTCTAAGAGAACTAAATCAATTACATATTTGTACAGTTGTGGTTTTCCCAACCCTAATATAAATATATTGGTAATTCAGTCCTATTTGAACTAAACATTAGTTTTATTTTTTGACAGCAACAATTTTATGTATGTATATACAGTACGTATTTGAGACAAAGTCCTGCTCTGTTGCCCAGGCTGGAATGCAGTGGTGCAATCTCAGCTCACGGCAACCTCTGCCTCCTGGATTTAAGTGATTCTCCTGCCTCAGCCTCCAAAGTAGCTGAGATGATAGGCGTGTGCCACCATGCCAGGCTAACTTTTGTATTTTTAGTAGAGACAAGTTTTTACCATGTTGGCCAGGCGGTTCTCTAACTCTTGACCTCAAGTGAGGTCTCCCAAAGTGCTGGAATTACAGGTGCGAGCCACCACAGCAGGCCAAACAACTATTTAAAAATATCTATTTTCTTGAAGTATTACATCTGAGATGCTAATTCTACAGCAAAAATTATTGGCTTTTGTGAAAATGTTGAATTATCCTTACATGTTGGCTTATTTGGCTTTTGTGAAAATGTCAAATTATCCTAACAGCCTGGTTTCCCAAATTACTCTGTAGTCAACTATACAGTCAATTCTCGATTACTTACATGTTATTTACTTTCAGTCACAATATAAAAATCCTTATGTTATGATGAGTTTAAAACAATTAAAAATCAGGAATCCATTACAAATAATTAATATAGCAGATATCCCTTATTTCCATATTGTTAACACATTACTGATCTTTGCCAATAAAATACAGTATATCATTATAGGATTTAGACTTTTAAAAGACCCCAATAGTTGTTTGTTTGCTTTTTTTTAAGATGGGGTTTCACCATGATGGCCAGGCTGGTCTTGAATGCCTGACCTTAGGTGATTCACTCACCTTGGCCTCCCAAAATGCTGGGATTACAGGTGTGAGCCACTGCACCCGGCCAAGACCCCAATAGTTTTTGTGACACAAATAAAAAGTTTTTTTTTAAGTTCTTAAAACATTTAAAAAACGTTCTTTTAGTAAGTTTAAGAAGTGTTCTTAAAATATTTATATGGAATCCTGAATAGCAGTTTTGGAAGGTAAATAATTCCTGTGTCAGTTAGAGGATAAAGTAAAAAAAAAGAAAATATAAAATACAGGATGAGGCCTGGTATAGTGGCTCACGCCTGTAATCCCAGCACTTTGGGAGGCTGAGGCTGGAGGATCACTTGAGCCCAGGAGTTCAAGACCAGCCTAGGCAACATGGTGAAACCTCATCTCTACATAAAATAAAAAATTAACTGGGTGTGGAAGCATGTGCCCGTAGTCCCAGCTACTAGGGAGGCTGAAGTGGGAGGATCACCTGAGCCCAGGAAGCCGAGGCTGCAGTGAGCCAGGATGGCACCACTGCACTCCACCCTAGGCATCACAGTGAGATTCTGTCTCAAATAATGATAATAATAAAATTAAATACAGGATGAGTCATGAAGGGAACCTGATGGTGATTTTTAAGTGCCTATGTTCAGAACACAGCAATGGTATGGGACAAACTTTTCTAATTTAATATCTAAACATCCAGTGATTCTAAACAAATGTTTTTAAAAATAATCATATTAACTTTTTGAACTAATCATTATTTGGTTTGATGGATATAAAAAAGCTACATTAATCAAAGTACATAAATAAGAAATTCATAGAAAACAGAACAAGTATTAATACTTGCTTTAATTTCATTCAGAGAAAAGAAACAACTAAATGTAAATACTAAGGAAAACTATAAAACACTACTCCATGGGTGCTACAAACTATTTAAATATTAATAATTGGTCGTGCTAGATCCAAACAGTCTAATCTTTTTCCAAAAGAGGGTCCTTTGTTTTTTTTCATTTCTGTGAAAAAATTAGGGGGAATGAGGTTGCAGGATGGGTTATGATGACTGAGGCTAAAGGCTGATGATGATTAAACTGGTACAAATAATTCTGCTCTGGTGGAAGATAATTATAGATTATAGAAATTCCAGGCCGGGCGCGGTGGCTCAAGCCTGTAATCCCAGCACTTTGGGAGGCTGAGGTGGGTGGATCACGAGGTCAAGAGATCGAGACCATCCTGGTCAACATGGTGAAACCCCGTCTCTACTAAAAATACCAAAAATTAGCTGGGCATGGTGGCGCATGCCTGTAATCCAAGCTACTCAGGAGGCTGAGGCAGGAGAATTGCCTGAACCCAGGAGGCAGAGGTTGCGGTGAGCCGAGATCACGCCATTGCACTCCAGCCTGGGTAACAAGAGCGAAACTCCCTCTCAAAAAAAAAAAAAAAAGAAAGAAAGAAAGAAATTCCTATTTATTTAATTGCTTATTTGAGAAGGAGTTTTGCTCCAAGCTGGAGTGCAATGGGGTGATCTCGGCTTGCCGCAACCTCTGCCTCCTGGGTACAACCTATTCTCCTGCCTCAGCCTCTCAAGCAGCTGGGATTTCAGGCGAGTCCTACCATGCCTAGCTAATTTTTTATATTTTTAGTAGAGACAGGGTTTCACCATGTTAGCCAGGCTGATCTTGAACTCCTGACCTCAGGTTCATCCACCTGCCTCGGCCTCCCAAAGTGCTGGGGTTACAGGCGTGACCAAGCCTGGCCTTTTTTTTTTTTTTTTTTGAGATGGAGTCTCACTCTGCTCCCCAGGCTGGAGTTTAATGGTTCGATCTCGGCTCATTGCAACCTCCATCTCCCGGGTTCAAGCAATTCTCCTGCCTCAGCCTCCCCAGTAGCTGGGATTACAAGCACCCACCACCACGACTGGCTAATTTTTTTTTGTATTTTTTAGTACAGACAGAGTTCCACCATGTTGGCCAGACTGGTCTCAAACTCCTGATCTTAGGTAAACCACCTGCCTCGGCTTCCCAAAGTGCTGGATTACAGATACGAGCCATCACACTTGGCCAGAAATTCCATTTTATATAGAATCACAGAAATTCTCAAATTTTTAAATAAAAATGTCAGTGTATATAGGCACATACCCCAAATTTGTATTTCTCCAATATAACAGTTATTTAACAGTTTAATATATAATTTCTATGCACAATCTTGACAGTAATCTAAAGAGGTAAGGAAATGAAACTTAAAAGAAACCTACCATGTTTATGGATAAAAGCTAGCCCTTGCAATATCTGATACATAATATTTCTGATGACTGACTCAGGGAACAACTTGCTTCTGTAAAGAAATGAACAAACAGTCACAGAATTCTGTTAAACAACCAGCCAACCAATCCAAAGAAGGTTTATATTACCCCTGCCTTGGAGCCTCTGTTGGCCTCATGATACTGATTAAAGGTATGATTTATGAATTTACAGTGTGAAAGCTCATACATTTAAAACATGAAAATCAGATTTTTTTTGTTTTAATGTGTGGTTAAAAACTCAAATCCCAAACTGAATGTATTGCACACATATTAAATAGCTAAATTTTAAACTGTCCCAAGAAGAGTAAAGCTAGTTGAAAAACAGAATTAATAACAGATAAGCCAAGCTTGCAAATCTATATTATGTAGGCTTTAAGAATTTTAGAAGTGGCTGTGCAGTGGCTCATGCCTATAATTCTAGCATTTTGGGAGGCCAAGGTAGGAGGATCGCCTAAGCCCAAAAGTTTGAGACCAGCTTGGGCAACATGGTGAAACCTTGTCTCTACAAAAAAATACAAAACTTAGCCAGGCGTGGTGGCGCATGCCTGTAGTACAGCTGCTGGAGAGGATGAGATGGGAGGATCACTTGAGCCTGGGAGTTCGAGGCTGCAAGGAGCCATAATTGTGCCACTGCACCCCAGCCTGGTGACAGAGTGAGATCCTGCCTCAATAAATAAATAAATAAATAAATTTAGAGGTATAAATAAATGCTTCAGTTCTATTCTGCATATTAGTGTTGTCCAATAGAAATATAAGAGCCGGCTGGACACAGTGACTCATGCTTGTAATCCTAGCACTTTGGGAGGCCAAGATGGGTGGATCATCTGAGTTCAGGAGTTCAAGAGCAGCCCAGCCAACATGGTGAAACCCCGTCTCTACTAAAAATATAAAAATTAGCTGGGTGTGATGGCATGTGCTACTCAGGAGGCTGAGGCAAGAGAATCACTTGAACCCGGGAGGTGGAGGCTGCAGTGAGCCAAGATTGCACCACTTCACTCCAGCCTGGGAAAAACAGGGAGACTCCATCTCAAAAAAAAAAAAAAAAAAGAAAAAGAAAAAAAGAAATACATGAGAGCCACTTGTGTACTTAACATTTTTCTAGCAGCCATGTTAAAAGAAATCAAACAGGTAAAATTAATTAACAGTATATTTAATTTAACCTAATATATGCCAAATACTATTCCAACATGTAATCAATATAAAAATTAGCTAACTGCACCACTGCACTCCAGCTTGGGTGACAGAGCAAGACTATGCCTCTAAAAAAAAAAATTTTTTTTTTTTTTTTTTGAGACGGAGTTTCGCTCTTGTTACCCAGGCTGGAGTGCAATGGCACGATCTCGGCTCACTGCAACCTCCGCCTCCTGGGTTCAGGCAATTCTCCTGCCTCAGCCTCCTGAGTAACTGGGATTACAGGCACGCGCCACCATGCCCAGCTAATTTTTTGTATTTTTAGTAGAAACGGGGTTTTACCATGTTGACCAGGATGGTCTCGATCTCTTGACCTCGTGATCCACCGGCCTCGGCCCCCCAAAGTGCTGGGATTACAGGCTTGAGCCACCGCGCCCGGCCAAAAAATTTTTATTATAAAAATTATTCTTGCCCTGCAGTCATCCGAGCTGGGCTCAGCGGCGCGGCGGAGACTCCGCATGGCGGCGGCCAGGTGCAGGCGGGTGGGCGGAGCAGCGGATGGCGCCGAGGCCACCCCAAGTGCCGGGCTCGCGGCGGCAGAGCGCGCCGGAGTGGTCGGGACCCGCGGCCGCCCGCGCCTCTCGATGGGCAGCTCGCACTTGCTCAACAAGGGCCTGCCGCTGGTAAGACTTTGACCCCGATGCAGGCTTCAGTGATTGCCGTGGATCAGAAGCCTGAGCGCTTTGGCTCGAGACAATTAAGGACCTGGGATGAAGCTCCGAGACAGGATGCGGTTCTGCCTGGGGACTCCTGAAGATAAAAAGCTTTGAAAAGTCGAATTCATGGTCGTGGAAGCCAAGCCCGTATTAAGAGATGTCAGGCGTCCGACCTCCAATCAACGGGCTCCTGCACCCGCGGCCCCTGGTGGCACTGCTGGATGGCCGGGACTGCACGGTGGAGATGCCTATCCTGAAGGATATCGTGGCCTTCTGCGATGTGCAGTCCACGCAGGAGATCCACGAGAAGGTCCTGAATGAGGCTGTGGGGGCCCTGATGTACCACACCATCACACACACCAGGGAGGACCTGGAGAAGTTCAAAGCCCTGTGCATCATCGTCCGGAACCACAGTGGTTTTGACAACATCGACATCAAGTCGGCCAGGGATTTAGGCATCGCAGTCTGTAACGTGCCTGCAGCATCCGTGGAGGAGACAGCCGACTCGACGCTGTGCCACATTCTGAACCTGTACCGGCGGGCCACCTGGCTACACCAGGCGTTGCGGGAGGGCACACGAGTCCAGAGTATAGAGCAGATCCGAGAGGTGGCGTCCGACGCCGCCAGGATCCGTGGGGAGACCTTGGGCATCATTGGACTCGGTCTTGTAGGGCAGGCGGTGGCGCTGCGAGTCAAGGCCTTCGGCTTCAACGTGCTCATCTAAGACCCCCTACCTGTCAGACGGCGTGGAGCGGGCACTGGGGCTACAGTGCTGAGCACCCTGCAGGACCTGCTGTTCCATAGCGACTGCGTGACACTGCACTGCGGTCTCAACGAGCACAACCACCACCTCATCAACGACTTCATCAAGCAGATGAGACAAGGGGCCTTCCTGGTGAACATGGCCCGGGGTGGCCTGGTGGATGAGAAGGCGCTGGCCCAGGCCCTGAAGGAGGGCGGGTTCCGCGGCGCAGCCCTGGACGTGCATGAATTGGAACCCTTCAGCTTTAGCCAGGGCCCCCTGAAGGACGCACCCAACCTCATCTGCACCCCCCACGCCGCATGGTACAACGAGCAGGCATCCATCGAGATGCAAGAGGAGGCAGCACCGGAGATCCGCAGAGCCATCACAGGCCAGATCCCAGACAGCCTGAAGAACTGTGTCAACAAGGACCATCTGACGACCGCCACCCACTGGGCCAGCATGGACCCCGCGGTCGTGCACCCCAAGCTCAATGGGGCCGCCTACAGGTACCCTCCCGGCGTGGTGGGTGTGGCCCCCACTGGCATCCCAGCTGCTGTGGAAGGCATCATGCCCAGCGTCATGTCCCTGTCCCACGGTCTACCCTCTGTGGCCCACCGGCCCCACGCCCCTTCTCCTGGCCAAACTGTCAAGCCCGAGGCGGATGGAGACCACACGAGTGACCAGTTGTAGCCAGGGAGGAGCTCTCCAGCCTCGGTGCCTGGGCGGAGGGCCGGAAGCCCCTCGGACCAAAGTGTGCAGAGGAGGTGCCTGCGTGGTGGCCCTGGCGCTGCAGACTGTCAGGCAGTGCAGGATGTAGGTGGGCAGCGCCAGGCCTGTGTCGGTTGTCATTGTCCGTCCCGTGGGCTCTCCGTCCTGTGTCCTTCGCGTTCCTCGGTAAGCAGAAGTCAGTAGTTATTCTCCCATGAACGTTCTTGTCTGTACAGTTTTTAGAACATCACAAAGGATCTGTTTGCTTATTTGTCAACAAAAGGAAAACCTGAGGGAGCATTTGGAAGTCAATTTGAGGTCATTTTTTCCTTTTATATGTTGGAACGTGTCCCGGATGAGGCAGTTGGCAAACTTCTCAGGACAATGAATCCTTCCCGTTTTTCTTTTTATGCCACACAGTGCATTGGTTTTTTCTACCTGCTTGTCTTATTTTTAGAATAATTTAGAAAAACAAAACAAAGGCTGTTTTTCCTAATTTTGGCATGAACCCCCCTTGTTCCAAATGAAGATGGCATCACGAAGCAGCTCCAGGAGGAGAAGCTTGGGCGGTGCCTGGCACGCCCGCTGCCCGTCAACGTCTGTCCTGGGGACGCAAAGGGTGGCAGCGTCCCGCCTGCACCGGTGCAGTCCTGCTGATGTGGTAGGCTAGCAATATTTTGGTTAAAATCATGTTTGTGACTGTAACCATTTCTATGAATTATTTTAAAGAAATAAAAATCCTGGAAAGAGCCAGCGGGGGTGGGGGGGTAATTATTCTTTTTTTTTTTTTTTTTTTTTTTTTTTTTGAGACAGAGTCTGGTTCTGTTGCCAGGCGCCAGGCTGGAGTGCCATGGCGCGATCTCTGCTCACTGCAACCTCCCCCTCCCGGGTTCAAGCAATTCTCCTGCCTCAGCCTCCCAAGCAGCTGGGACTACAGACACGCGCCACCACGCACAGCTAATTTTTTTTTATATATATATAAAAAATTGTTCATTTTAAAAATTCTACCTTTTAAATTTTTTAGAGGCACAGTCTAAATATATATTATATATATAATTACCAACCTATTTTACCACTGACGTTATTTATTTTAAATAGTTAAAAACTACTGAACATTTCTCACTTTAAAAGCAGGCAAAATGGACGTTTATCCCCGAGATGTGACCAGAACAACCACCAAAACATTATCTCCCCAAGCTCAGGGTGGAGGACCCTTTATAGATTCTGCCCACACATTTAAAAATTGTGAATTTCCTTGGAATTGGTAACACATCAAGTATTATCACTGACTTGTGCCTTCCAATGAATGAATTTCTTAAATCTTTTCTTGAAAGGAACTTTATTCCTTTCTCCATTCTTTCATTAACCTCCATGAGATGCTTGGGAGAGCAATGAAGATAATTTTCTCAGTAGTGTTCAAGGCCAGTTTTGTTACTGAGTACTAAACTATACATAAGTTTGTATTTTAAAAAGCATAAATAGTATGTGTATTTATATGAGATACCGGCTTTGACTTTTAATGATTTACAACAGAAAAATGGTGGCCTATGTCACATCTGGTTCTTCTTCAGTGTTAAATGTTACCCTTTGATAAAGATAACAGAAGTAGTTAATTTAAATTTACCTTTTGGAGTAATCAATCTGTTTATTGTAAAGTATTGACATACTGAAAGGATCCAAAGAACTCATGGAGGGAATAACAGGGAAGAACGTGGATAAAAACATACCTGTCTTTCATTAATTGATAGAGGTTTTCTTTCATATATTCAAATATGAAATAAAGGTGGTCATTTTCTCTGATAACTTCTTTCAATTTAACAACATTAGCATGATTAAGTTTCTTCAGAGACTGAAAAATAACAAGTGCGCATTAAAGTTTCTTAAAGAAAAACTTAGAGAAGTTGGCAAAATTGCATCAATGCTAAGTTTGATAGTTACCTTAAGTAATTTTCCATTTTGCCTGGATTCATTAATTAATAACATTTTAATATCTATCTACATAATTGCTTTAAGTAATGAAAGTTAAGTGCAAACAATAAACCAAGCTAACAATAGGTATCAAACATTTCAATCTGATACATTTTTCCCTTGGTTTATTAAACAGGTCTAACTTTTGTCTGACTTAACCATGCAAAGATATCCAAAATGGTATCGAAGTCTTTAAGCATCAAATCTAAGGAAATGGTATGTAGTAATTTAAAAACTTGTCTTTTGGTGGCTGGGCGTGGTGGCTCATGCCTGTTATCCCAGCATTTTGGGAGGCTGAGGTGGGCAGATCCCTTGAGGTCAGGAGTTCGAGACCAGCCTGGCTAATATGGTAAAACCTTGTTTCTACTAAATATACAAAAATTAGCTGGGCATGGCAGCACATGCCTACAGTCCCAGCTACTCAGGAGGCTGAGGTAGGAGAATTGCTTGAACCAGGAGGCAGAGGTTGCAGGGAGCTGAGATCATGCCACTGCACTCTATCCTGAGTGACAGAGTAAGACTCTGTCTCAAAAAAAAAAAAGTTGTCTTTGGAGAATATGATTTAAGATGCTCTTTTAAAAGTGAGAGTGAACTTTCAAATGTGAGAATATAATTATATGCTATTCTACACACTGACATCAAAACCAGAAGAAATGAGAAATTATTTTAGAATATAAAGGAAAAACAAATACAATTATCTTCAGAATGCTTCCCACAGAGAATAAAACAATCTTAACTAAAAATAGTCTTAACTACTGTCCTCAGGCCTCGGATAGAGTTAAAGCCCCTTCTCAGGTTCTTTTCATCTTTAGGATTTTACCTTAACTTCTCTCAAGTTCATACATTCATCCCAAGAGTAGAACTTTCTCTTCATCCTAAAATAAATAGAGGAAAGTTTAGTGTTCAGGGATTGAGGATTCAAAGACACAGATTACACTGTTGGCTTTGTTACTCTAGTATTGGCTCACTTTGGGCGAGCTATCTCCTCATCCTTACAGGGAAATCACTTCCTCCTGTATATCTCAAGGCTAGCTGGTAGACTATGTCACATCCAAAATTCAGCTTTAACACAAAAATGACAAAATTACCGTTCATCTTCCTTTCTGGGTGAGTTCTTAACACTTCTCTAATAAGTTTAACTGTGCCTTTCTTAAAGGGTCCCTTCCAAGTTCCTCTCATTTTAGAACTTAAGAGATAAACATGAAACACTATATCTCAGAAGGGTTAGGGAAATAAATCACAAATTTTGAGCAAATTTAGTCAAATAATTTCATCTGATAACTTGCATGTCATTACATCAGCTTTAGACGAGAGGCCCATAAAGTTAAAGATCTCCCTACTTAAATGATTTAAGTCGGCAAAAAATTGGAAGTAACTATAAACGTTAGAAATGGCTTTCTTGAATTTTGTTCTTTACTTCCCCTCTTTTATCCCAGTGTTGGTTTCTATTAGAGATAAATGTACCAAAAGTGTATTTAGGGTAAAAATTATTTCCACTATATACACCACAGTTACTTGGTGTGTTTTTATATGAACACGTGTTTTTATGCGAACAGATTTTTAGTCACCATACAAAACAGGATAAAAAGCAGGATTCATATTCTAAAAAATGTTTCTTCAGGTATGGAAATTACAGGGCTGGCCTGTGAAAAAGAACCAAATATGCCATACTGCTTTCATTTGGTATTATAATCTCCTGCTGAAATATTCCAGAAGATCCTTGGGAAGCTTAGAGTTGTCTTTATTAATTAGAATAATCCTTATGATCCAGAGGCTCCAGGGGGGATAATACACAAATGAGGCAATGAGTGAAAATTGGCAGCACAACATCACAGTCAGGAACAGAGGCTGTAGATCCGCACTGCCTGGATTCAAATCCTTGCCCGCCACTCACAGCATGACTTTGGACAAGTTACCTAATGATTTGTCTGTGCCTCAAATTCGTTAGCTAGACATACAGTAGAAACTGCTGCATAACAAAAGCTTCTTGCAAACTGCTTCGTTCAACACTCACTAACTACCAGATGTTTTCATTTTTACCAATATCTATGACTGACTGTAAGACAATGTAAAGGGCATCACTGTTATTATTTCCAAAATATCCTTAGTGAATCAAAATTTCATTTGCAGTTATTCAAGTACTAGAAATTTATAAAGAATTGTGATGAAATGGGGATCACTAGCCTATTAAAAGATACTTTTCAGTCCTATAGATTTATAAAATGTCTTGCTAAAATGTAAAATGTAAATCAAGCAAAATGATGAATTTAAAATAAAACAGAAGTCAGTTCAAATATAGCTATAAAAAGTTGATTAATAAAATGATCATGTCGATGTGAAATTGCACATATAATCTGCTATGATTTTTTCTTTCTTTTTTCTTTTTTGAGATGGAGTTTCGCTCTTGTTACCCAGGCTGGAGTGCAGTGGCACGATCTCAGCTCACCACAACCTCCGCCTCCTGGGTTCAGGCAATTCTCCTGCCTCAGGCTCTTGGGGAGCTGGGATTACAGGCACGCACCACCATGCCCAGCTAATTTTTTGTATTTTTAGTAGAGACGGGGTTTCACCATGTTGACCAGGGTGGTCTCGATCTCTTGGCCACCTCAGCCTCTCAAAAGTGCTGGGATTACAGGCTTGAGCCACCGTGCCCGGCCCAACATGGTCTCATTCTGTCGCTCAGACTGGAGTGCAATGGTGTGATTATGGCTCACTGTAGTCTTGACCTCTTGGGCTCACGTGATCCGCCCACCTCTGTCTCCTGGAGAGCTGGGACCACAGGTATATGCCTCCATGCCCAGCACATTTTTGTATTTTTTGTAGAGATGGGGTTTTACCATATTGATCATACTAGTCTCAAACTCCTGGGCTCAAACAATCTGCCCACCTCAGCCTTCCAAAATGCTTGGATTACAGGCATGAGCCACTACACCTAGCCTGCTATCATGCTTTAAATATAATTTCAGAATTTTATTTTTGAGATGGTGTCTCTCTCTGTCACCCAGGTTGGAGTGCAATGGCATGATCTCAGCTCTGCAACCTTTGCTTCCCCAGTTCAAGTGATTCTCTTGCCTCAGCCTCCCAAATAGCTGGGTTTACAGGCGTTACCTGGCTAACTTTTGTATTTTTAGTAGAGATGGGGTTTCGCCATGTTGGCTGGGCTGGTCTCGGACTCCTGACCTCAGGTGATCTGCCTGTGCCGCCTTCCAAAGTGCTCGGATTACAGGCATCAGCCACCATACCCAGCCTAGAATTTATTTTTCACTTTAGGGGAAATGTATCAATGGATCTTAAAGTGTTACCTAACAAGTTGTACCTAGAATATTTATGGCCTAAATTGGAAATGCCTAAAATTTTATACCACCGAGCAAAAGATTAATTGGATATTATGGGATGTGAATGGTTTTGGTACAAACAAACAAAACAATGAGAATGGAGAATGAGGACTCTGATATTTGTAATTTTCATGTAAAGTTTATCCCTCTACATTAGGCTTGAAGGAGACAGCAAAGCCTGCTTGTATGACTCTTATAGATAGCTATCTTGTTCAGACATGAGCAATAATGGCTATAGTGAATACTCAGTGTAGTTAAACTGATCATCTGACAGTAGCCTGGTTTCACAACTCCTTCACTCCTAAGAGATGTGCACCTCTGTCCTACCACGATCACTCATAAACTCCTTGTGATGAGGAGTTCTACTGTCCAAGACCTCAACCTTTACCACTTCAGACTCTGAGCATAATAACCTCTTATCCTTTTCACCATCATTACCCTTGAAACTTCTTCATAAAACCTCTTTCTTGTTCAACTTGTGGCTATTCCTACAATCACCTGCATGGCATGGCTTGCCTCCTCATCCAGCTTGGCCCTGTCAGTCTTTCACCCACTACACTCTCCAGATCACACACACGCTCTGAACATCCCCTTCTCCCACCATTCCACTGCTTCTGCCTTGTCATCCTCCAGTCTCCATACAGATGGGTGGAGGTGGAAAGACAACTCATGAAAATGCTCCCAGTGGCTCCACTTTCACATCCATCCTGTGTAATTTCAGGACTGTTCCTGACATTGGGCAACCCTTCTGTGGCTTTCTTAGCAACTCAGTAACTCATCCTTCAAACTCTCTAAAGCTCCATGCCTCCACTGCCCACTTCCTGCTACTCCTTGTCCCACTTCGGTCTGGCTTACTTCTACTATTCCACTGGAACGACGCTCACCATGGCCGTTAGTTATGTCATATTCCCCAAACCCAAGGAACAGCACGGCAGATGATATTGTTGAAATACCATAAGGCTATTTCCAGCCCTTTCCTTCTGCCTCCTAATATAGAGGTTGGAAGAGTAAACACTCTCTCAGCCTCCTTTGGAAGGAGACCACGTGACCCAGTACTAGCTGGTAAGATGTAAGAGGATGTCCTTGGGGACTTCTGGGAAAGAATTACTACTTCCTGATAAAAGATGGAGAAGAGTTAGCTGGTATTATTCTCCTTTCTTCCCCTCTTAAACAGGGATGTAATGCCTGGAGGTGCAGCAGCCATAAGGTGGTCATTAGGTGACACATTTAAGGACAGAAACAATGCTAACTGCTCAGCATGAAAATCAAACAAAACATGAATTTCTTGGGTACAACGTTGAGTCACTGAAAGAGCTCTGGAATCGTCACCCTCCAGACTTCTTGGTACCTACTTCTGCTTCTTTAGATCCTTCCCTTGGTTTCAGATATTTTCTACATTCTCCTGGTTTCTCCCGTTTCTCTGGTGGCTCCTCAGTCTTTTCTGTCAGATCCTATTCCAGGGTGCATACTTTATATGCCATGGTTTCTCAGTGCTCTAAATGAAGACCTCTTTTTTTCTCCCTCTAAAGAGTTTCAATTATCATATGTAGACAAGTAGACTAATCATTCCAAATCATTAGCCTGCACCTCTATTTTGAGATTTTTTTTTTTTTTTTTTTTTTTGAGACTGAATCTTGCCCTTATCACCCAGACTGGAGTGCAATGGCGTGATCTTGACTCACGCAACCTCCGCCTCCCAGGCTCATGCAATTCTCCTGCCTCAGCCTCCCGAGTAGCTGGGATTACCGGCGTGCGCCATCACACCCAGCTAATTTTGTATTTTTAGTAGAGACAGGGTTTCTCCATGTTGGTCAGGTTGGTGTCAAATTCCTGACCTCAGGTGATCCGCCCACCTCGGCCTCCCAAAGTGCTGGGATTACAGGCGTGAGCCACTGCACTCAGCCTTGTTTTGAGATTTAAATGCAAATATTCCATTGACTAAAAGTCATCTTAAAGTCATTATGCCCCAGACAGAATCCAGCTTTACCCCAGGCCTGTGATTGTCCCCTTCTTGACATGGTACATAGCACCACACACTATACATTTAAGTCAGAATCCCAGGAGTTAGCCTGGACTCTTCCCCATTTTTTACTCCTCCCTCCATCCTCATGCCCAGTCACCGGTTCCTATAGAGCCTGCTCCCTAAGTGTCCCTCGACTGTATCCAGTTACATCCATCCTCAGAGCTATTTTCTTGTCAGGCACCACTTCTAACCAAGATGACTGCACTGACCTTCTACCTGGTCACCCTGTGTCCACCCTTGACATCTTCAACCCAGTCCCCACTCTTCTGCTAACAAGCCAGTTCTAAAAAATTTGATGACATCAACAATGCTGCTTAAAATCCTTCAAGACCTTCTAGTCCTCAAGATACACAAACTCGGCTGGGCGTGGTGGCTCCCAGCTGGAATGCCAGCACTTTGGGAGGCTGAGGTGGGCAGATCACGAGGTCAGGAGTTTGAGACCAGCCTGACCAACATGGTGAAACCCCATCTCTAATAAAAATATAAAAATTAGCCAGGTGTGGTAGCACAATGCCTG